ATTATGCGTATGTATTGGTGCTTCGGTGTTCAGAACAAAACTTCGTTAGGTCAAGCATCAACATTGCCTGGGGGTATATCTCGTGACCCATGGGCCAGAGAAATCATATTGTGCCACATGAGCTGGACGAACCACACAACTCCTCATGTCAAGTTGCAAAGAACTCTGAGCGATGATGCCTTCATCAGCCTCGCATGAACGTTGGTAAATAATCACCTCACGTTGGTGTTTTCCGGGTCACAGACAGTATGAGACAAAATCATTGTGAGCCGCGGGACACTATCATGCATACCAAAGACAGCCACAGGGCACACACATTTAAGAGCTACTTAGACACTCGTACCCTCGGGTTTTAACTTAGAGTATAAGAAGACAAAGGGACCTCTGGTGGGCAGTATCGTACGTACGCCCACCCTCGGCAGCTCGACGGCACCACCATCTCACCTACTGATCTACAGTCACCAGGCCGTCTACCGATCGGCGGTCCACCCGCCAGAACTGGCCAAATATTCGTGGATGGCGACCGCCCGGCTGGCCGTCCGCCGGTTCCCCTGCCTCCGTGGTGAGCGAGTGTGAACAGACTTGTGGGGACCGGGCCACTAGACGCCCATAACACCGCAAGCCTGCTGGGGCCCACAGAACGCCTGGCGCCTCTGGAGGGCGATGTCGCACGGCCGCACATGCGTCTGGAGGTGCATTGTGTGGGTATCGTCCAACCGACGGCTGGTTCTGAAGCAGTTCTGATCCCACGGCAGCAGCAACTGAGCTGACGATACCCGGCCGGTTGTACTTACCAAACAGCGGGCCGCGTTAAAGGCATGCCAACTGGTGCCGGGCACCAGTCAACCGTTCCCAGCCCTAGAACCGTGCTCTGGGGCACATTTGTGGTGACCACTCTAAAGCCCTCCTTCTCAAACATCGCGAAAAGCTCACATATCCTCGCCTCAGGCTTCATGCTCAAGAAATGTACACGGTGCTCATAACTTGTTATTGGAAAATGTGATGCTGGATCTACGCTTGACAGGAGATGGTATCCTGCGAGCAAAAAATGAGCCAACGCCTAAATGAGACGTCCGACGTCAAGTGAGACGCCTTTGGTCGCCGCATACAAGACTACAACACCTATCTCGTCCCACTTATCCCCTGCAGTGGCGTCACTGGTGATTCCAGACTGGGGAAACACGTCGCTGGGGGAAGGGTAAATAGTGTGTAAAGCCGGAGTCCACCACATCAGTACCCTGTCTCTGTTGCTCCAGGTTCCATGGAGGCTGCTGCGCATGATGTTCTTGATTTGAAGATTGGGAAGCTGGCCACCCCTCCCCGCCCTTCTCCCTATCGCGATAACGCTGATGCTCTTCCATACAGGAGCGTATCATGACTTCCGGCTGTTTTCGCGGCCGAGATGGCTCAGTTGGGAGAGCGTTAGACTGAAGATCGAAATGTCCCTGGTTCGATCCCGGGTTTCGGCAGTGGTTTTAAACTAGGCTAAGCAACATCCAGGTGTGAAATCCATCACAATGGCAGGACGGTACAAAGGTCACTCTATGGGTCTAATAGCCATAGCGTTTTCGCTAGATATAAATGTAGTATTGCAGTAGGAAGAATATATCTGACATCCACGATCCTTACACAGCTTATGAACCGCTTGTTAGCAAGTTGATAAACCGCATGAGGTCAAGACCACATGCGGTTTATCATCAAGATCATCTTCCCGCTGCAACACGTAAGCTGCAACGAGCGACAGCCCTACGGGTATTAGGAGCCCGAGACCGGTTCTCGTACAGTCTTGCCACTGTGGTAGAATACGCTTCTGGGTTTTTAAAGTTTTGCTTAAAACGACTGCCGAAACCAGGAACATTTAGACCTTCAGTCTAACGCTTTCCCAACTGAGGTATTTCGGCCGCGAAGACAACCGGAAGCGCCGATATGTTCCTGTATGGGGGAGTAGAGGCGTTATTAAGGTGGGGAGAAGGGCGGGAAGAAATGGACAACCTCCCAACCTTGAAATTAAGAACAGTATACGTAGCAGCCTCCATGAAACCCGGAAAAGGGACAATGTAGTGACTTTGTAGACTCCGGCTCTTCATGCTATTTTCCACTTCCCCAGCGATATGTTCCGCCAGTCTAGAATCACTGGTGACACCACTGCAGGAGATAGTGAGAAAAGATAGGTGCTGTTCTCTTGTATGCGGAAATCTCCACAACGATTAGTAGCTGTAGAAAAGATGAAGGATATTCCGTGCATTATCCTATAAAATAAGCTATATATTTTCATTTATATTGTCCGCACTAGATCCGATATTGTATCATCCATTTCTAACAAGAATAGACTTCTGGTATCTACCGCCTCCACTGGTAGGTGGTAGATTTATTTCATTGTGCACACTTAGGATGAACTAGAGAGGAAGAAATGACGATCAGAAAGTTTTCCTTTTAACGTTTATTCAATCCCAGTAACGAGGCAATTTAATGACTCTGCCCTTTCCTGAAC